CCTCTTATGCTTATTTTGTTTTTCCTTGTTGTTTTTTTTTTTTTCCCTAAAAAAATTTTATTAATAAAGGCTTCATTAACAAGCAGCGACAGAAACTCACACCGGGGAACTGACTATTCCAAGTCATCAATTAAAAGAACATTTCTCTCTGTTCTTTCCCTTTCAAACCCTCATTTTAATCACCAAAAAAGTAGAGTTGAAAAGGCTCCCGAGAGGAAGAACAATACCGCGGCACCCACTATTCCACGGGCCCCGGCCCGCCCCGGGACCCAGCGGATCCCACCGGCGTGGTGGGGATCGGGGATCCCACAGTGTAACAGGGCCCAGCGGATCCCACCGGCACGGCGGGGATCGGGGAACCCACGGTGTCACAGGGCCCAGTGGATCCCACCGGCGTGGCGGGGATCGGGGATCCCATGGTGTCACGGGGCCCAGCGGATCCCACCGGCGCGGCGGGGATCGGGGATCCCACGGTGTCACAGGGCCTAGCGGATCCCACAGGCGTGGCGGGGATCGGGGATCCCACGGTGTCACGGGGCCCAGCGGATCCCACCGGCGCGGCAGGGATCGGGGATCCCACGGTGTCACGGGGCCCAGCGGATCCCACCGGCGTGGCGGGGATCGGGGATCCCACGGTGTCACGGGGCCCAGAGGATCCCACCAGCGCGGCGGGGATCGGGGATCCCACGGTGTCACGGGGCCCAGCGGATCCCACCAGCGCGGCGGGGATTGGGGATCCCACGGTGTCACGGGGCCCAGCGGATCCCACCGGCGTGGTGGGGATTGGGGATCCCACGGTGTCACAGGGCCCAGCGGATCCCACCGGCGCAGCGGGGATCGGGGATCCCACGGTGTCACGTGGCCCAGAGGATCCCACTGGCACAGTGGGGATCGGGGATCCCACGGTGTCACAGGGCCAGCCAGCGGCTCGGGGACCACGGATGCCGGGTGGTGACAGGATCAGGCCCGGCGCAGGTGGGGAAACCTGCCCCAGCACCTCCCAGAAGAGGGGTCCCTCCCGCCCATAGGATGCCCAAAAGCTGATTTTTTTTGATCCCCACTAGTAACAATTAACCTACTAAAGAGCATTCCCTACCCCTACAAGATTTTTCTGCTCGCTGGCCGGAGCTGACGCTGCTGGGATGTCCGGACAGGGCTTCGCCCGGCAGCCGAGGAGCAGAAATAACAGCAGCCGGCAATTAAGAGCCGCTCTCTAGTATTTTAAATAAAATTTTTAATAAATAAGGCATTTTGGATAAGCTTGACCCCCCAAACCGTGTGCTGTATAAACAGGCTAGAGGGGAAAAGTTTGCTTTAGAGCCCGTGCGCCAATGTCCTTTCGGGATGGGGACGGGGACGTTGGCTGGGGCAGGGTGCAGGGCCACGTCGGTGGGCGAGCACCCAGCCCCCCGCAGCTCCCTTCCCAGCCCCTAATCGTGCAAAAATCCCGTAACTTTTAAGGTTAATAAAGCCCTTGTTTGCTTAAGATAGCACCTGTTTCTATGGTGACACTTGCAACCCAGAGCCTGTTTATCAGTCGGCGAGGAGAAACGCTCTGACAAATGCAGCCGCGGGAGCAGGAGCCACGGGCGAGGACCACTGGTGGTACTGGGAGCCCTGGGACCGGGCAGGGATGTTGGGGTCCCCCGGCACCCAAACCTGACGATCCCGCACCCATGGATTCCCCCCCCCCCCCCCCCCCCCCGCCCCGGGAGCGAGCGCAGCCCAGGGGGGCTGCACCCCACTGCACCCACTGTGGGGGGAGAACCCAAAAAGATGGGTGAAGGGGTGGGAGTGGCTTCTCCTTCAAACTCTGTGTTGACATATTTCCCCCATCCGACCCCCGGGCTTGCCCCCGACCAGCTCCGTGCCTCAGTTTCCCCACCCGCCCTGCCCGGGGAAGGGCTCGGCGGAGCGAGCCGGGCGGCAGCAGCACCCAGTGGGTCCCGTTTCGCTCCAGCCTGGTGCAGGATTTCTCCCGGCTGGCAGAACTGGTTTCCATAACGACTTTCTGTTACAAACATATTTTGATAAAAATAAAGTTAAAGCAGCGAGGCTTTAGTGGAGTACAAATTTGCTGCTCTCTCCCTCCCCCTTCCTCCTCCCCAAGGAGGGGGAATAAAGATGGAAAGCTTTCCATTTGAAGGGCAGTATTTTCTCCCTTCTTTTTCTTTCCCCCGCTGAATACAAAATGGAAAGCCTTGTTTACTGGATTTCTCTGTAAACTGGTTCCGACTCTGCCTAGTTACCTGATGCTCTACAGTATATACAGGATAATGTGATAAATTCATTTCCAATTCACTGCATTATCCTTTGAATATTTTAATGACTCATTGAATGGAGTAAAAAAAAAAAAAAAAAAAAAAAAAAAGCTATTTCAAATGAACAATTATGCTGCATTAGAGTAAAGGCTGATTATATTTAAACACTGCTTGCACGGATAACGGGACATATCGACCTCCGCCTATAAGAGCTAATTTGGCTCTTATCTCTAAATAATTTTACACTGCAAATTACCATGAAAACCTAAAGGGCTTTAAAAACATTCATCAAAAGATATTATTCCACTTTGTAGCAACATTTTTATTTAAATTATTTTGAATGGGAGTGAAAGCATCTCTCGTGTTTGACAATCGGAGGAGCGGCGGAGCAGCGGCTGATAAGGAACGGCGAAGCGGCACCGCTGGGCTGGGCTGCTCCATCCCAACCCCCCCCCCCCCCCCCCCCAAAAAAATCCAGAGCCGAATCCCCCCCAAACCGGGGGCGTGCCAAGGTACCGCAGCACCTCTGATGGAATTCAGAGCCGCCACAGCCGCGGCCCTCCAAACCGGGGGGTGGCAAAGCCCGGGTGACACCGGGGTGACGACGCTGGGGGCTTTGGTGGCCCCCCAGCCGCGGCACCGGCCGCCCCGTCCCTCCCGGAGAAAGGCACTTGAAAGCCCTTTTCTGCACCAAAGCAACAGAAGGTGTCATGTAAAGCCTACACGGTTATTTTCGAGCCAGTGTGCAAATAAGCCTGTCAGCTGAAGCTCCTCGGAGCCAAGACTTCCACATACCCCCCAACGATCTGCATTTCAACGAGACACCATGTGTCTGAGCCCCCGGGAGCCGCCGGCTTCGCAAAAGCGGTTTCGGGGAAAGCTCTGGCTGCGACACCCCCCCCCCCCCCCAACCCCCGGCCGGGGGGTGCTGGGACCCCCCCCCCAAGTCCCCAGCCTGTACCCCCGGTAATGGGAACCGACCTCGCGGCTGGGGTGAGATGGTTTGTTGCTGGTGCCCTGCGGGGGTGATGCTGGGTTTGGTGGTGTCTTATAGGAGATTTATACGCATGTATGTGTGTGTATGCATGGGATATATATACGCACACACACATGATGTATCTATATATGGGATCTCATATCATTATATGCATATTTATATATCATATCTATAGATTTTATACATAATATATCATAGAATATCTCAAGCTGGAAGGGACCCATAAGGACCACCAAGTCCAGCTCCCTGTTCATATATGTATACATATACATTTTTCTCATGATGAGAAAGTTTAAGGAACAGTTGGGGTTGGGGTCAGCCCCATGCCTGGCAGAGACATGGCACCTGGAGATGGGAAAGCTTTCTCCTTCCCCAAAATCTCCTTTTCCCCCCTCCTTTATGGGCCAGCAAGGAGCTTTCTGACCTTTTACAGGGCAAACTGAATCGCCCGAATGCCAGGGGAAAAACTCATCTTCCATTTGTGCTGGAGAACTGGTTTTAATCCCATATTTCCCTTCTTTGCTTAAATGACCTTATACTCAAAAAAAAAAAAAAAAAAAAAAAAAGAAAAGAAAAGAAAACCACAATAATTAGCAATAGCGAATGCCTCAGAAGGATCTGTGTACAGAAGGGAAAACAAGAGCTTGGGCTTCTTTGCGTTTAGTAAATATTAAAATTAATGAGAGACTTTCAGGACCCTGTTGTTAGAAATGCAGAAGGGTTTCTGTGAAGGATTAAAAAAAAAAAAAAAAAGCCCTGTACACAAATCTCTGCAATTATTCTGAATGCTTTATATTTTTCAGCCAATTATGAAATTCATGGAAAGTATTAATATCCAGTTTTAATTTGCTCAATATTCCCATTAACAATAAAAAGTCTAATTAAGGTATCTGTACAAAAAGCCCTTAGCAGTAATTTCACAGAATAATAGAGGAGAATGACGAGATATTTCTTGTTAAATGCATGCTGCAAATTAATTGATATCTTAATTAGACTTTAGTACTAAGATTATTAGTTAGATTGATTCAGGGCTGAAACACCTAATCTTTTAAAAGATAAAAGCAGGCAGGAGAGGAACAAACTGATTTTCCAAAACCTTTCTGGAAGGAAACCAGTGATATGCTGGGACAGTTCGGGAGCGACGCCCTGGGGTAAGGGCCCGTCTGTCTGTCCCGTCCGTCTGTCCTGTGGCCACGGAGCTGGGAAGCACCAGGAATTCAACCCAAACCCCTTTTCTCCCTGTTTGCTTCCCTGGGCTGGAAACACATTTCTCCACCCACCCCCCCCAAAAAAAAAATAATGAAAGGAAAAATTTGGCACCGGTGACACTTTCACCAAAACAAAAAAAAAAATAAACAGCAGCAAGAGGTGTTTGAAACGACCGGTTGTCTCCGCAGAGAAAACTGATGGTGGGGAGTTTTCAAAGCGGGTTTTTTTCAGCATTTCCTTAGAAGAATTAAAAAAAAAAAAAAAAAAACCAGCAATATTTTTGGACCAGCTTCGCTCTATATAGCCTGAGGAAGCACTCCCCTACCTACACGCCGAGCACCATTTACATTTCTCTCGCAAACGCTCATCCTTCGGGATTTCACCGAGATGCTGCCGCACCGAGAGAGATTCGCGTCCCGTGGGAATCCAACCCTCCCGGGCAGGAACGCCCGACGCACCCCGGGTTCCTGGGGAAGCCCCGAGCTGCTGGGACCCCAAGATACGGACCCCGCGGAGGCGGGGGGGGGACTCACTGGGATGTCGGTGACCAACCAGTGCCTCCAAAAACGGTTCCTGGGGTCGGCTCTGCTGGGAGCATCGGGGTCCACCAGCACCAGCACGTACTTCTTGCTCTGCAAGAGAGGAGAGGAGAGCGCTAGGGACAGGGTGTGCGGGACTCCACTGCAAGCAAGGAGTTTTATCAGCCCCCAAAATGCATATTTTTTTTTTTTTCCCCCCCCTTTCTCATGCATGCACACTCTGATGGTTGCATTCATGCAAAACGCCCAGAGAAGACGAGTGATGAACGCGCTCTGGGGGAACGCGGAGGCCACAAACCCGCTCAGGATGATGTACTCCTCGCGATCTAAATCTCTTCAAAGAGAGGAAGAACCGGGGTTTTTTTGCTACCTCCAAACAAAAGGCACCAAAGAGAATTTCCTCCCCTGCCAGCCACCCTCTAACCACATCCTACAGCGGCGCAGGGCAGCGCGATGCGCCGCAGCACAGGGGACTTTCCACCGAGGGCTGCGATCAGGACGGGATATTTTTGGGATTCAAATGCAGCTCCAGTCCCGGGATGGTGGCCGGGGACACGCTGGATGCCCCAGCCTCCACGAGGGTGGCTGTGAGGAGCTAAACTCTGCCTAACAAAGCCCAAACTAACCGAAAGATGCGCCAGGGATGCTGCGAGAAGGCAAAGGCGGTGCCTCGCCATGCTCCCGGGGGGTTCGGGTACCTCTCCTGGGTGATGGCAGCTGGGCAGAGAGAGCAGGGAGTCACGGATGATGCTGGCTCAGCCCCCCCCAGCATCCCCCCCAGCCCACCCCAGGTCCCCACCAAGACTCTCCAGCACCCAAAGGTGCCACCAGCACTACGAGACAACATGGATATTTTGGTCCCTGGAAGATGGAGCTGGGTTTGAAGTGACCTCTGGAGGCTGTGGGTAGAAAACGTGCTGATCTCAGGGGATTTGGCAGGACCTCAGGCACCAGATTAGCCTGCAAACACCCAGATTAAGGGATCTATATCCTAATAAAACCTCCAGGTGCATCTGTCAGCTCGCCAGCAGAGCCAAGCACCGCTCCAGCGTGCCCGAGGGCTGCGGTTTCATAAACGGTTGGGGGATTTAACCATTCCCACCAAAATTAGCTGGAGCACTGTGGCTAAATCCCCCGGTCGCTTGTGACACCAAGGCAGAGATTTTCACAGTGAGATTGTCGGGGCTGAGACAACCTTTTTGCTCTATTTCCCAACCCCTGGTTGGGGCAAACGGAGCAAGCAAGTCTTGGGGTGTTGCCATCCCCAGAAATCCCCTGTAGCCCCTTCCCTTTGCAACACAAAGCCCCCCCCCCCCGCTTTGCAGACCCCACCTCCACAACGGGTTTAACCAGCAAAGGTGGAGTGCAACCCATTTAGCAAACAGCTTGCAACAGTTGCAGAGAAAATCCCCAAATCATGCAAACTCCCTGCCTGGGAGCAGGGCCCAGCAAGGTTCTGCTGCCCTGGTGCATTAAACCCAGATTGGCTCAAGGCATTTTCATCGGGGGGGGGGGGGGGGTTAGGCCAAGCATGCATGTGCATGGAAAAGGGGTCATGAGGGTGTCACCGCGTGAGGCTGAAGCTCAGGACCCCCGAGCAGAGCTGTCACCTCCCTCCCCACGGTGCTCGCAGCTGCAACTGGCTGCATTGCCGCGAGCATCCCAGAAAAAAATCAGCAATATTCCTTACCAGCACCGAAATCAGCGTTTAATGGGAAGGAGGAGGGGGGGAGAGAAGAAGCCCAACAACCCAAAAACCCTATGCTGGAAGTGTGAAGGAATTTGAGCTCTAACTTTGGGGAGGGTGCGGAGCTGAGCACGGCGTTTCTGAATCTCTCGTCTCTGCTCGGGAGCCCAGCTGGTGGGAACAGAACGTGTAGTCATGGGACTGTCATCGTGTGCTGTCCAGGTTAACATGTAGCATTTCTATTACTATTAACAGACTTTCTGCTCCTCACTCCATCTGTTCTTCGAAATAATTGCAGTTGTACAGACCATGCCTTCGCTACAGGCAGGCTCTGGGGAGAGGATAGTGCTTTTATGCAAAAAAAAAAAAAAAAAAAAAAAAAAAAAAAAGTGTTAAAAAATAACAGCAAACACGAGAATAGAGTGCAAGCAAAGTTAACAGCAGGCTTGCAATTCGGTACAGATTGTGGCCTAGAAAGGTGGCAGCACACGGGGCCAGGGGCCGGAGGGGCCAGACCCCTGAGGGGACGGGACCCGGGGTCAGCGGCCCCGAGCTGGGCTGGGACCGAGGGATTTTTCTCTCTCCTTACCTGCAGGCCACCCTAAGAGACACAATCCCTCACCTTCCGCCTAAAATAGCAAAGCCCTCCACGACCCGAGTTAATCCCTCGGTGCTTAGGTGCCCGCACATCCCGTGCCAGCAGCCCGGGGCTGCACCGACCCCCCAAAATCAGCCCAAAATCAGGGCAAACCCTCTGGCCCGTGTCCCAGCTGGGCACCCCAAACACGGGGTCGGGTTTTTTTACGCTGGCTCTGCTTGCAAGCAAGAGAGCAGCCTGAGTGCTGATGATTTTAGGTTTTTTTTTTTTTTAATGCTGAAATCCCTCCTCGACACAGGCTAACAGCATTAGCGGCTGTCAGGCTCCAGACAGGAGCCAGCCCGGAGTGACACGGGAGCAGCTCAGCTTTACAAGCATGAACCAGCCCCGGGGATTTTTAGAGAGGAGGAAAGTGGGTTTAGAGCAAAAAATTCCTCAGTCCTCCAGTGCTGAAGAACGGGTGGCACCCTACTTTGCAGAGCGAAGGGGGAAAGGAGAGGAAAAAGCCATTTCAGCTGAAAATTTGGGGTAACAAAGCACACCCAACACTTCTGTCACGCTTTTTCGGAGGAGCTGCTGGTGCGGGGGACCTGGAGGGGACCCAGCGTGTCCCATCAGCATCACGCCAATGGGGACGCGTGCAAGGGTCACCCTTCCCAAAATTAGCATTTAACCACTGCAACGAGCTGCTGCCTTCCCCGAGGGGTCGGTGCTGCAGAGCCGTTGCTTTTCCCCTCCTCCCTAAAACTGGCTTTGCACCCCGTGTCCCCGGGCACAGGCGTCCTGCCCCGCTTTGACACCCCGAAACGGAGCCAAAGCGGCAGAGCTGGTGGCAGCTGACAGCGGCGCTGTGTGTCGTGTTTTCCCCCCTAATTGTTTCTAGAGGGAAGCAGCAGCGATATATCCAGTTATTACTGCAGAAAGCATCAGCTACTCCAATTAGCCACAGGTTTAGGAAACTTGCTCCGAGCAGGCAGGGACTTTTCAAGAGGCAGGCAAGCAGGAGAGGGATTTGTGCGCTGAGGATACACACACAGCTCAATAGATCCCGCGGAGCCGGGGCTGCACAGGAATTAAAGACTTATCCAAATGAAAGCAAATAGGGTGTTAAGCGACACACATGTAGAGCGAGCAGTTTCCTTGGAAACCAGCGCACATGGAAGCGGCACACATGGAGCGCCCCGGCGTTTTCGGCAGCGCCGGGGCAGCCGTGGGGCTCGGCCCTGCCGGGGACGCCCGCGCTGGGCTGGGGATGGAGCAGGAGCAAAGCCCCGTCCCGCCGGCGCGCCTGCTGCAAGGCACGGAGAAAAATAGCACAAAATGCCCTTTCTCCTGATGGTGGAGGGATGCCGGATGGCGCCCAGCTTTGCTGGCCCCACTCACCTTAGAAATTCAATCCCAAAACTAAGGAGCAGTGATGGGCAAAGCCCTGGGAGGCCCCCAACCCGAGCCCTGCTTCCCGGCACGGGGTGTAAGCGGGTTTGGTTGATTTTGAAAAGTCCACCTGGATCTTCCCCAGCTCATCCACCCCTCAGGGCTGCTCCTCGTTCGCGCTTACAGAGCAAAAGCTGCTGGTAGCACCCAGCCCCTCACCCCGCAAGGAAATAGGTGACATTTCCAGCTGACCTACTGCCACCTGTGTCCTTTACAGCTGCTAACGAATTTACCAAGGTAGGAAGCTGCTGCAGAAGAGAACCACGGCACCGACAGATTAAGACGGTACCCGAGCCAAAAGGCCCTCCTCCGCCTTCCCGAGAGCTAAAGCTCAGCATTGCAATAGCCTGTATTATCTCGCTGCAAAGGATTTCAGGGTGACTGATGGCACGAGACAATGCAGCCCGAGGCCGGCCAGTCCCTCCAGTGCAGAGATGGGATGTGGTGATGCATCCCCAGCACGCAGCACCCGGGCGGGAGTTTGCTCCCCGGCACGACGGCCGGGCGACAGCTCGCTTTATGCGACGACAGAAAATCTCAATGTCCCCAACGTGACCTGCTAGAGCAGGGCAGGAGCTCCTGGGCGGGCAGGGAGGCGGGCAGGGTGCCCAACGTCCTGGGAAACATCGTCCCAGTCCTCCCGGGCGGTGGCTTGAGGGCTCCAGTGTCCCACCGGTGCAAGAGTCAAAGCGGTGCCGCCGCTCCCGCGAGGTGGAAGCGCTGCGAGCACCAGCTGAGAGCTGAGAGTCAATCTGGGCTTTTTTCTTGGCTTGTCCCCAGTACTAAAAAGTTTCTATAACGGGCACACAGTTAGCAATTCTGCTGCTGATGCTTCGCCAAAGAGAAATTCTAGCTCCTTCTTCAGTGGCTAACAGCACGGGGGGGGTGAGGCAGGGAAAAAAATTGTTTGCAGCCGGGTCCGTTCTCGTGGCTTTGGAAAGGAGCTGCAGAGCGTGGCGGGATTTTACCTTCTTATTTTAAACCAGCACCTCACCGCTTCCGTGCTCTTCTCCCCGTGCAAAAATAGGTCAGCAATATTAACCCTACTCCGCAGGACTCGCCCAAGGGGACAAGTGGCACCGTCTGAACGCTTGACCCAACTCCCCCAGCTGCAGATTTGTGCTTCCCCCCACCCACCCTCCCCACCCCCCCAACCCCGGCCCCGCGCTGCCGAAGGGAACTTCATTGACTTTCTAACACCCTGCAACTCTCCCCATCCCTTTGCTCTCCCCCGGGGCTCGCCGCAGCGAAGCTGGCCAAATATTTATGCAGCCTAATGTTCTAATAAGAATTGATTAATCCCAGATCGTTAAAGCGAGCGTGTAAAAGGTCTGTTCCCATATTAAAGTCTTGGGATGCTTTAAGGAATCATTT